GCAGTTACTGCCTGACTTAATCTGCCTGGCACCAAAAAGGCACTCAACCAATGTGTGATCATTGCTTTAGCCAAAAAATACGTATTTTATGTCTACTATGTGACAGATACTCTTCTAGATTCTGACAGTGAACAAAACAAAGTTCTCTCATGGAGCTTACATTCTAGGGTGGGGAACAGAGAGCACACACACAATACATAAAAAGTGCTCATAGGGGCTATGGGAAAATATAAGGCAGAGTGAGGAAGGCAGAGAGTGCCTGGTGCTGTGTGTGAAGTTCTCTCAGAAAAGGGAGATTGGAGACCAGAGAGAACTTACATATATTTTGAACTTAGCATTTGGTAGACAACACTTCAGAAGGAGAAAACGAGAAATGCAAAAATTCTGAGGAAGGAACATGCTTGGATTTTTTAAAGAAATAAGAAGGATACAAATGAGGTTTCCCACAGAGAAAGGACGGAAATGGTATGAGTTCAGACTGGCAGAAAGATGACAGATTACACAGGATTCTGTAGACCATGGTAAGGATCTGGACTAAACTCTGAGGATGTTGGAAATCCATTACAGGCTTGGAATACAAGCTAGCAAATTTGACTTTTTTTTTTTGAGTTGAGTCTCACTCTGTTGCCCAGGCTGGAGTGCAGGGGCACGCTCACGGACACCGTATCCTTGACCTGCTAGGTTCAGGCAATCATCCTTCCGCCTCAGCCTTCCAAGTAGCTAGAACTACAGGCATGCACCACCACACTCAGCTAATGTTTTTGTTTGATTTATTGTAGAGATAAGGTCTCGCCAAGTTGCCCAGTCTCTTCTCGAACCCTGGGCTCAGGCAATCCTCTCACCTTGTTCTTCCAAAGTGCTGGGATAGCAGGCATGAGCCTCCGTGCCCGGCTGACTTGTATCTTAAAAAATTATTCTGCTGTGTTGGGCATTACTTCTAGGAAGGTAGGAGAGGAAACAAGGAACGAAGAAAGGGCTATTGTCATTGTACCAGGGAGAAGTTACGGTGCTTGAATTAAAGTGGTAGCAGTGGTGGTGGTGAGAGTTTGTAGCTTCTGGATATATTTATAAGATGGAGCTCATATGATTTTGATTGTGTGAAGGAAAGAGAGTGCTAAACTGGGAGAGATTACAAAATGAACAAAATTTCAGTTTTGGATGTGTTCATTCTGGGATGTTTATCACACATCAAGTACAGATGCTATGGGGACAGGTGGACACGAGAGACTGGAGTTCAGGGGAGGGCTTGGCGCTGGAGATTTACATTTAGAAATGTCACTCAAAAGAAGACATATGAGCAACCAATAGATGCATGAAAAAATGCTCAGCCTCACTCGCCACCAAAGAAATGAAAATTAAAACCACACTGAGATATCACCTAATTCCAGTCAGAATGGCCATCATCAATAACTCAAAAACAGATGCTGGAGAGGATGTGGTGAAAAGGGAACACTTCTACACTGTTGGTGGGAGTGTAAACTAGTGCAGCCTCTGTGGAAAATAGTGTGGCAATTCCTAAAAGATCTAAAAATCGACCTTCCATACGACCCTGCAATCCCCCTGCTGGGAATATAGCCAGAGGAACTCAAATCACTCTATGAAAAAGACATCTGCACACTTATGTTTATTGCAGCATTGTTCACAATAGCAAAAATATGGAACCAACTGTGCTGCCCATCGAGAGAGGCCTAGATCAAAAAAAAGTGGTACACATATACATGAAGGACTATTACATAACCATAAATAAGGACAGAATCATGAACTTCACAGCAACTTGGATGGACTTAGAGGCTACAATACCAAGTGATCTATCACAGAAACAAAGAACTGAGTACCACAGGTTTTCACTCATGAGCGTACCTTGAACAATTATCGTAATACTATAAGTGGGAAACTGGTGGGGGGGGCGGGATTGGCAGTAGTGAGAATCTGCAGGGGTGGGGAGGGTGGTACCTCATTAGCAAGGGTATCAGCTAACCCTGAACTGTACCCCACATCTTTAAAATAAATTTAAAAAAATTAAAAAGAAATCTCAGCCTATAGATGACATTTAAAACTTTAAAACTGGAAGGATTCCCCAGGGGAGTTGTTTTGGAAAAGAATTGAGCCCAGATACGCTCTCGCTTTTGGAGTCCAGAAGAGTGAAAAGAGAACAGTCATGGAGTCAGTGACTAAGCAGGCAGTGGAGATTGAGGAAAATGTGATATCCTGGGAGTCCAGTGGAGACATTTTCTCAGAGAGGAGTGATCCTATGTGTCAACTGTTGTCAAGGTGTCAGTAAGATGAGGAAGTTGAAATAATCATTTATTTTATTTTATTTTATTTTTTAATTAAAGATGGAGCCTTGCTAAGTTGCTCAGGCTTGACTGCCTTGAATTTTGGGCTCAAGCTATCCCCCTGCCTCAGCCTCCCGAGTTCCTGGGGTACAGGTACATATCACCTAGCCTGACTGAAAAACCGTTTATTTTGGTATCATGAATATAATTGTGTTTGTGGTTTGATGGATGGGAAAGAAATGGCTGAATAAAGTTATTGGTGGGGCTTCAAGTGTCATTTTAGTCCACCCAATAATAAATAATTTTATTCCAGACATTGAGGAATACTTAAAACTTTATACTATGCAAATTGAGGCTGATTGGTAGTATAAACGTGGGGGTTTTCTTGAAGTTTAGTGAAGACTCCTAGGCTGGTCTTCTAGAGTTTCTTTACTTGCAAAACGCCTAAATGCACTAGCTTTAACTTGTCTAAATTCCTTTTATCCAATTATTTCTTGTCTATTGGAAGACTTCCATGAGAAGTCCATAAAAACAACGAGATTAATGTAACTAAGAAAGATTCCATGTTCTCTGGGAAAACATAACTTAGTGCAGGTGGAATAGTTTGAAAGATACTTTTGCTTTAACTTTTTTTTGCACCGTTTCCTCTTGGTGCTGACAGATAAATATCAAATGGTCTAAGTCAGAGATCAGTTTATGGGGATCCTTCAGTTGAAAATGAGGTCCTTTGATGCATACACTCTCCTGAGACCAAGGACTATATTAGTAATCAGTGTTGTTTAACCGCCTATTCCCTTCCTTTTAGTTAAATCAACCATTAAAAACCTTGTTGGCTTACATGTGATTCCATATATCCAAATCGTAGAATCAGTATTTGCTATCTTTTGCAAAAAAATTAGAAAACATGTAAAATATATAAAATATTGAAACTGGTAAAGCCAAAACATTCTCCATCATTCTGCCAATGTTCATTACAGGTTCCTTAAAACACAATATATAATGAAAACTATTCAACATACTTCTCCCATATTATACGCTTGCATGTTTTTCGTTTCCTTTCTACAGAGGGGAAATTATAGACGGTGTGGGATTAACATCTAGCAAGGGAGGGTGGTTAGATAAGGAGGGTGTACAAGAAATTTTCCAGGTTGAATTCACGATCTGAAACTATGATCTGAGAAGAGAAATTGCCTTTCATGGGCATGGTTGGTTTGAGGCAGAGGGTGGGTTTTAAAGAAGTTAGAATTCGCTCTTGATGCCGCCTACAATCTTCCTGCCTGCTTACTTCTCTCTTGTTGAGATACTCTCCTTGCAATACTGTAGACATTTGGTTACATATTTTATGAACTTCTGTTTGAAATATATCCGTCTTGGTTTGAAGGATGTTTTCTCTGCTAGGTAATAATGTGTGCTCTTGAATTATATGCTAGGAACAGTTGTTCTGAGGCCAACTCCCTGATTCACCTGTAAGCATAAAACTGACTCTGGACATGCAATTTCAAGAAAGGACTCGGTAAGCTCAGTATTGGAAAACATGGAGCCCACTAACTGGAACTGGTCACCTTTTAAATTTTTGTCTTGGGTTTAAAGTTGCTTTCTCATCTACATTTTACTGTTTAACATTAGTAAGTGCCAAAAGAGGTTATTGAGTGTTACTGGAATCAGACAGATCATGTTTGACGCTTATTGGGAGATTTGACCCAGTTACTTGGCTTCTATGTACCTCAGTGTCCTCAAACATAGAATGATGACAATCCTCACATTATGACAAAGAATATGGCAAGCAATTTATGAGAAAAAACAGTGCGAAATATAAGCCCTGAGACGTTTTAATTAGAAAATAAATCATATTTGTCTTGGAAACAATAAATTTGACAAGTGTGTGGTAAGTATACAATAAAGAAAATTTGGGGGAAAACATTTCTTGAGAATGGACATTTCTGTTATAAACAGGGAGCCTTTTTGATGTATATTGCAAAGTGTTCAGTGCAGAAACATATATTATTACAAAGACAGCTTGAACTTGTAATTAGATTCCCTCACCAGGAATGACCAAGGTAAAAGAAATGCAGAAGATTAATAACATTATATTAAAACTAAATATTCACTCACAACATGGGCTATAATATTTCAAAGTGTCATTTCAGGAAACTCAGAGATTATTTATTCATCTCAGGATGAAATATCATATTGAACTTTCTAAACCACAAATGATTCTGCTTCTCACTATAGGGTTATCTATCGCTCTAGATATCCATCTGTACGTATGCATCTAGGTATTTATGTATCTTATCAGAATTTCAAAATGCATACAAATAAATGTCAAAAAAATCTCAAAATACAATTACATTAGGACATCTTTGCCTCTGATTACCTTCATACTTCTCAGTTATTCTTTGAAATTTGGGAGAATAATATATACTATCACACACTCTCATCAGTATACAATTTTGAGTTGGCATCTGATGACTGCATGTTAATCTATGGCACCAATTCAAGGGTGAATTGTATAGGTTGCATATGGTTGGGGACTTCCAAATGACTGTCATGCAGAAGTGTGTGACTAACAGTATTGCTGATTATATTCTGGAACATTGTGGTCTTGAAATAATGCCTAATTTTGTCTCAAGCATTTTGTTCGACCTAATATACAAACAGGAATGTATCTTGCTACCTTCTGGAAGATGAAACTTGCAATCACTTAAGAACACAAGCAACAAAATGAACAGTTATCAGACTTTGGTTTATTGTAAAACTTAGCAAAGGTTTTCTTATAATCCCTGACCCCTTACTCTGAAAACAAAAGCAAAAACATAATTATTGCTTATTCTTTTCCCCCTACTTTATTTGTGCCACAGTAAAAGAAGGGAGAAAAATCATTGTAATAAATAAAAATAGAGATGTACCAGAGAAAAATAAATCAGTCCGGATGAATATTAGGAGCAACAGAAATATCATTAAGCAGTTTAAAAATAAGCTTTTTTTTTTTTAAAAAAAAAGTTTGTCTTATTAAAAAAAAATCACACCAAAAATATAGCAGCGGAAAAGAAGGATAAAATGCAAGTTAATTGCACACCAGTCCCATGCAGAAAGCTGTGTCATTAGCCAAAGCAGTAGTACTCAGAATCCAATTTGGGATGTTTGTGCAGTGCCTGGGAGTCCTCTATTATGGAGCTGTCACTGAACTGGTCCAAGTCTGAAGGGGTCTGATGACCGGGGACATCATCCGCCAAAGTGTCCAGGTAGCTTCCCACGGAGATGCCGTCCAGCCCATCACTGCCGTCGTGCAGGCTGTTGTAGCTGCCACGTAACGAGGTGCTCTGGCTCTCCAACAGACTGCACAGGCTGCCACTGAGACTGCTGCCTCGGCTGGTGATGGTGGCTTTTTCTTCAATCATCCACTTGATGGACTCAATGCTCTCATTGATACCGAGCAACTGGCGCATGAGTCTGACGTCCGTGGCTCTGAGGTTAACCTGCAGAGAAGAGGGAGAGAAGCAGAAAGGCGTTCCTGTTATTCCATGCACTTAAGAGACCCCAAATTCATTGGATCCTGTCAGTTGCAAGCCAGAATTTTAAATTCACCAAATCAAATGTAAGTGTACTTGATCTCAGGAACTTTTTGAAAATTGCTGCCGGATGGCAGAAGTCATCATCAAAGAAGTCACTTCCTGCCAGAGGCACTGGCCCCAAAAGGGACAGGAAAACTCCAGTGGCATCCCTGACCTTGACTCGGCTGTCTGAATATTTCCCATTGAATGGCAGTTTCCTGGATAAGAAATGTATTCTCTTTTGGGCCAGATTAATAGTTTAGGTATGTTTATATGGGGATATGTGTGTAGATCCTGAGAGCTGGGGAGACGAGAAAGGTGGAGAAGTTAAGGAGTCGTCGTCAGTATCATAGAAGTCTCTATTTATTGCCTGATACCACACCAGCCATCATCATAAAAGCTCAATGTCCATTAGCAAAATCCAATACCACTGTACGACAGGCATTACTGTCTTTGTATTCATTTTACAAATAAAGAAAGAGAAACCTACAGAGTTAAAAGTACAGGAAAGACCTACATTCCTCATTACTATATCAACATAGGCAGTGTTGAATAATGCTTTTGCTTTTAAGCAGAACCAGATTGCTTGAATATTCCCTGAATCCAAAGGGTGCTGATACACACTAGGCTAATTCAATTTACAAGATGAAGTGTACAAATATTTCTGCAGATTTATCTGTTTCCAGTCTGTCAGAGGTACCCCAATCAAAAGCAGGATTTGAGATGCTGGGAAGGTCCAAGAACTCTCCCCTAAATGTGATTGGTCCTTCTGGTCATTCTGAGCTCCTTCAGAGATAGGTCTCCACAGCCACTGAAGCGGAATCTCTTTGTAGGTCCCACAGTTTAATGAGAACATTTGCTAACATTAAGAGTGTGATGGTTTGGGGTATGGGGTAGTATAAGAACTCCATGACTATCCCAGTTCTTGCTGCAATTAGGGAAATGGGACTGCTTATAAAGATTCCAAGCTGGGTTTGGTGGCTCAGCCTGTAATCCTGCAACTTCAGGAGGCGGAGGTGAGTGGATGGCCTGAGCCCGCGGGTTCGAGACCCGCCTGGGCAACTTGGCGAGCCCTCATCTCCACAATAAACCAAAAAATCAACCGGGCGTGGTAGCGCGCGGCTGTAGTTCCAGCTACTTGGAAGGCTGAGGCGGAAGGATTGCCGGAGCCAATGCACTCCAGTCTGGGAGACAGAGTGAGACTCCAACTCAAAAAAAAAAAAAAAAAAAAAAAGATTCCAGTGCTTGGACTTGGAGGCAGAAACGTGTTTGGCCACTAGAGGTCTTAGTCACATTCTTTATGGTTTGAAAATGTTCCTCGGGTTTACCCAAAATGCTGGGCCATGCTAATTCTTTCTTTAGGATACAGGGCTCATTCAGCCTTATGTCGGTTTCTAGAATTATCAAAGACTCCCATTCTTGAATGACTCAAGCCTAAGGAAGAAAGGAGCCCATTGTCTTCAAAAGTATGCATTCATATTATCAAAATATTTCCTGGTGAGGAGTTAATCCATAACTGAAGGGGAACTTTCGATTGAATGAACTCGATGCACAAACATTCAGAGAGATGGAATTTCCACTTAGGACTCCAAGAGTTGCAAGATTACAGATTTCAAAGAAACTAATAATAAAAATACAAGTATAAATCAAAAAAGCAAAAAGTACACGTTTAAAAACCCTTAATTTTGCTGGAATATTAAAGTGGCTAGTGTGAGTTCGTCTTCTCCGAACAAAGCACCAACATAGAGGGTAACTGAAAATTACTTGCTGTTGGAGAAAAAGGCGTTCTGGTAGTCTTTATGTTCAAATACACCCACACATCCCACGAACCACCAAGACACTGGTCAAGTTGCAAATAACACAACAAATATTTACAAATCACTGACAATTTGCCTGGGTCCACTGAGCAGCCCAGAAAATCAATGTGAGCCAAACTCTTTTTTGTTTTGTTTTGCTATTTTATCTTAAAGATGTGTGGTACAATTCAGGATTAGGCATACGAGTGGACATCTTACAGGTAAAGTTTGGGCTTCCCTTTGGTCCCCACGTTGCCTGGTTTGAGATCAGGTGCCCTGATGGATGTTGTGTCTCCCCACCCCCCAGGCAGTATGCCGCAACTACCAATCCCTTTCTTATAGTATGATGGTAAATGTTCAAGGTCCGCTTATGAGTGAGAACATGTGGTACTCTGTTGTTTGTTTCTGTGGTAGATCACTGAGTATGACAGACTCTGAAACACCTACAGAAGTCCTCAGCAAGCATCTGTAGCTGACAAAACCTGCCATGCCCCTTTGAAGACGTGGTACAATATCCATCTGGCCACCATTTCCCAGAATGTCCCCAAACCTCCGCTGCATTTATTCCCATCTCCACTTTTTCTCATGAAAATGTTCCAATCCATGCCCCGAGCTGGGCCTGCTCCCCAGTTATTCACCTCACTTGAGACACTTGGCTCTCGTCTTCTCCAAATCCTCCCATTCTTCAAGTTCTGCTTCTCCCATCAAGCTCTGCTCGCTGGCTCTGCCTTCCTCTGCTGGCTCCCTTCACCACTACGGTCCCTTTAGTTTGTATCTCACCAGAGTAGCTTAATCTTTTTGTTTGCTTGCTTCTTGTGGTTTCTTTTCTTTTCCTTTTTTTTTAAAGAAAAATATACTGTATTGTAATTTATTGAATATTTAATATACCATATAGCCATTTTTCTGGGCTTTAACCCTTGGACATGATTGTGCTGGTGTTTACAGGAAGGCTCTAGGTCACACCTAATGCTAATAAAATGCTTTTCTGAATAAAAATATGATACCAAACAAAAAAAATTCAAATTTTAAAAAGTTATGGAAAAGTTTGTTCTGTACAGACTAAAGACTAACATAATAAACAGAGATATATTAGTTTAACATTATTGTCTGATTTTATACAGCACGTAGCTTTAAGTTCACTTAGTAATATAGCAAGTATATTATTACTCAATATATCCATTTTTACAGAATTAGGAAATACATTTCTAAGAAAGATTTTTACAGATACCACCTTTCATATCCAACCATAAGGATCTATCACTGAAGAGGATAAAGCCAATCTCCGCCTCCACCAGCAGCACTGATGCTGCAAAAGCTGCCGCCATGTCCCCGAAGCCCGGATGCTTGTTGATACCTCTTGTGGTTTCAAACCTCATTTTAGAACTAATTTTAAAGAGGTAGGGGACAAGGCAGGATTAGGTGCCTATGTGGTTTGAGTACAGGTGAAGTTTGGGCCTCCCATTGGACCTCTCTTTGCCTGGATTAGACACAGGCACCTTGACTGATTGTCACAGGCTGCTACCGATGATTGCCTTTTAGCTTTCTCTTCATCTAAGCTGTTAAGTATCTTAAAGAAAGAAGCCACGTCTTACATTTCTTCCACACCTAGGCATGGGATGATTTTTAGAAACAGTCATAAATGTAGGAACTGTGCATGTTTAGTTCTTAGGACAGAAATCATACATGTTCCCGGCAACTGTGTCACTCAGGGGTTAAAACACCCTTAGAATAAAATTGTTGTCTGCAATTTTTGTCCAACTTACATGGTGGCTGCCTCAGACACACATTTTTCAATTTTAATGTGCAATGAGAATAAAAGAAAAGTAGACCAGGAAGTAACAAAAGCTTCCTTTGACCATGAAATGATTTATTTAAATAAGAAAATCTTTTTTTCTGAAGGGAAAACATTCACAGGCCAATGAACCACTGTTGGGGAAAAAAATGACGAAAGCAAGTGAGAACGTGTTGACCTGAAGGGTGATGATTATAGATTTAACTGTGTATCACCCTGTGTCCTCCGGTGAGAGAGTAAACAGTTTCCCACTGTGGGAGCTCTGGGTGCACCAGTTCACACGGTGGCCAGTTGTTCCCAGGAGCTCTGGGCACAGAGAGCCCTGGCATGGCCCGGCTACTGCATGCTGCTTTCTCCAAGCTCTAAGGTGTGGTTACATTACTGATGACCCCTGAAACTATGAGCAATCCACCAAAGAACTAAATCACAATGACGCTTCTGTCTCCAGCAGCTGCCCTGCCTTTCAGTCTTATGAAATCTACCCATCAATAAGGAAGAGTAACCTTGCCCCGGCAGCAGGAAACTGTGTGGTTCCTTCAGCTGGGTTCTCATAAGGTCTCACAACTGTGCTCTGAGGATATCTGAGTTTAAATATCATGTCCTCGGATTGCTCTTTCCTGATCAATCGTGCCCAGGATCCAATCACTGTGTCCGGCTGTATATTACATTTCCATGCCTGTTTGCTTCATAATATTTACAAATAGTTGTAACCTTCTGCTGGTTATGCCTTTATTTATTATTTTCTGTTTTTTCATGAGTATAGAAACAACGCTGAATATAGAGGACTTGTTCTGTCCTGGTCACCACTAGTGCCAAACTCTAGAAAAGTGCCTGTCACATAGAAGTTGCTCAATTTGTACCTGTCCAATGACTGAATTATTAATGCTGCTTCAGACTGGACCATCCGTCAGGAATCTGGGGTTTTGTTGTGGGTCAGTGACATGTAACTTGAGAGGGGAAAAAAAAGAAGTAACTTCAGGAGAGAACATTTCCGTACGGAAGCATTCCTAGCACATGATTCCATTTCTACTAATTCACAGGATTCAAACGCTAAGAACTGATGTAAGGTTACTCCTAGCTTAACTCAGCAGAGTTCGAGATAGGATCTCTAAAAAGAAGTGGACTTCAAGGAGTGAGTCACACTCTAAACACTATTCTGTCTGTTCAGAGGTGATAACTGGTATTAGCACAGCACAGGTGTCCTGTAAACACTTGGTGAAATGAACTGAACAAAGGGAACAAACAAACAGGACATGACCCAAACACAAGTGAAAAAAGAATGAGGTTTGGACCGAGTGACCCAAAGACATGCGGATGCTCTGTCCCCTTTTCCT